TTCTCTTTTCGCCTCCCCCAACTTGTTCTCTGTAGGTGAGAGTCAGCTGTCTGTGAAGGGCAGCCACCCATAACAGCACCCAGGGAGCTGGGGGTTAAGGGCCTCGCTGAAGGGCCCGCAGACATGCCAGGGCCGGGCTCAAACCGGCAACCCTCTGATCACAGGCATCGCATCTTAACCGGCTGAGTGTTAAACAGACGCACAGATGAAGTTCCGGTTCATTCATACCCATCCTGCCATGTCACATGTTTCATGTTCCACGTTCTCTATCCTGATGTGGTCTGGTGCTGTCCGAATGTAGTCGTTATTCACTGCATAGCTATTTTATTTCACTGGATTTGGGGACCTCCAGCAGGGACCTTCGTTGCACATGAATTAGCGAAAATCGCGGCAGAAAATCGGCCGATAACTTACGAATTTCGGCTGTTTCTCCACAACAATGAATGATGTTCATTCCTTCGCTGCCTGATGGTTCCAAAAGCTAAGGATGCTGTTTCCTGCCGCCCCGTCGTGCTGCTAATTCGACACGGCAAACATGTCGGGCTGCCTTCAGGTTTGTGTTCCTGCTGTTGAAAACAGTCGGCTGCGGGAAACAAAAAAAATATGAATTTCAAATTCAACTGACAACAAAATAAAAATTCAAAAGCACGGCATGACTTTGAAGTAAAACATTTCAAGTTGAAAGCAAAGCAGGTGATTATCGTGAAAAAAAACCAAAACAGAACATGACTGAACGTCCTTGTGACATTGACTGCCTTCCGGTCAGAAGTTATGGGCTTCTGGGAGCCGCTGAGCATTCTGGGATTGAACTAATCAACCATGACAATTTGGTCATTGGTCCCCCAAGTCCCTGGTCGATTTCTGCTACATTGTATTCCCTGGGGACCAAAGGGTGGGCGCTCCGCCCCACATCCATCTGCCTCGTGGCCTATCGACTTTTTCCAAACGTCCCTTAGCCCCCCACCCTGCTCCATCCATCACCGACAGCCCCCACCCTCACTGGCCGACCACTGCTCGCCGTTCGTAGCATTAATCTAGCTGGACGCTGGACTGTGATTTGCCATTTTGTTTTGCTAATAGATGCTCTGGTTGCGCTGTGTGTTTTCATTAATGCTCCTATAAAAGACGTATGCATCCAAATTGCGACTTTGTACATTAATTGTTTGTAAACAAATAGTCAAAACCGTTAGAATAAATCATATTTTTATCTCATCTGAGGAGGTTTTTGCACACCTGTGCACCTTTTGGATAGACTGTGGTCGCTGAGGGTGATCTGTGGTCTGATGTGTTGCCTCTATCAGCCATGTGATTAAGACTGTGTCCTTCTATGTCCCCTGCCCCCCCCCCCCGGTATTGCCACTGGGGGGCGAGGGTCTGTAAGGTCTTCTGTCAAGAGAATTGCTGCTTCATTTACACATTGATGTGCGGCGAGTGAATTATTCCTCTTAATGAAAATACAAATCACTGACGCGTTTCGCTCAACCCCCAAAAATGAGATCATAACAGTTTTTTTTGTCACCGAAGGAAATCAAATGCATTATTTATTGTGAGATTAAGTCTGTGTGTTACAGAGGCATTACCCTACCCCATCCCCCGCGAGGTGAGAGGGCTGACAGACATCTTTTTAATGTCCAGCCTTTCTGTAATGCGATGCGGTGTGAGGGATCGCCACCGCCACACGTCGCCATGCCGACAGACCGAGAAAGTGGGTGTCGGCCACTGCATGACCCCTTCAGCACTGATTCCTGATAGGCAAGCTTAAAATGCTGTAGCACACAGCATAAGAGTATTAGGGGGTGGCGGGTTTTAGTTTTAATCCCCTCTTGCATTGCACAGCGCTGTCGTCAACACCAGGCTCTCGAACCCCGCTGAATTGCTCAGGTCGTTTTCTCAACCCGTCCTACTTTAATATCTTAATCTGCAGTTTGCTCCCCACCTATTTGCCAGGCCACTTGTTTATATGAAGTTCAATAACAGAAGCCGTCGGGGAAAACAGCGCACTGCCAGTGCCGTTCTCCTCTGAGGGCCTGAAAATGTCCGCCCTGTAACCATTAAGCGCCCGTCGGCGTTTCTTCTTGATATACATCCTCCCCCGGCTGCGAACGCGAGCGGCACTATAGCCCATAACCAAGCTGCAAAGCTTTGTGCTGAAATGTGCTTTTCCATCTGAGATGCTCTGCAGTCCGCAGTCACCGAATTATCGCCACGTTAGAGCCCCCCGTCCCACCTCCCAGTAAAAAAGCTTCAGTTCCCCCCAGTTTGTATGACAGAGCAGAGAGAGACATGGGCATCCACTGCATGCTGGGGATGAGGCCCCCAGGCTGTGAAATCTGAAATATGGCTTGATGCAAGACTGTACTCTGCTCAGGACCCCCCCCCCCACCCCATGTAGCTGGTCATAGAACATTTATTCCCTCCTTATATGGAAAAGTGACAGGGTGCGGGTCCATCTGGGCCACACATGGCTTAATGCTGTTGGTCTGCGTGGGGGCTGATGTGTCCTCATCACTCACCACCCCCCCCCCCCCACATAACAGTACCCTGGTTTTGCAAGCCATCCCTATCTGGCCGCATATAAACACTGATGCCCGCTCGTCTTAAAGGGACAGAGCTCCAAAAGACACCTTGGGTGATTCTTGGCAAGAGCGGTCCTCCTAAGAAGGAACTTGGGAAGCAATGAATCATGGAATTGGTCTCGTTCGGTGAGGGTGCAACCGACGTATCCTAGATATTTGGACCGGAGCAAGAACGACATCCGGTGATTTTTACTGTCCTCTGACCTTCCGTTCTTAGTATTGGAACTGGTATTCGGCAATTGAAGATGACGTAAAATGGATACAATAGAAACACAGAAACGCCCCTTGATTCTGAACCCATGGTACGTTTAAGCATTTACCACACTGGAGGTGAGACGGCTGGTGTCCCCCCACCTGTCAGTCCAGAGGAGCCCCCCCAGGTCCCTGAAGTGCACCTCCAAAGACAGCAGCATGGTAACATCCTCTTAGGGACTGGCGACGTCTTTCGAGAGAACCGTTCATCGATCAGAGTGTAATCCCAGATGGCATGGAGTGACACCAGAATCAGAATTCATTTTATTAGCCAGGTAGAGCTGCATGCACTGGGAATTTGTTTTGGCTGTATTGGTGCTTAAATTCACAGATAACATAGAGGAACAAGAACATAAGAAAAACAGATAAGGAAAAATAAAATAATACTATAAAGGAATACAGTAGTGCAGGGCAATGCAAGCTGTGCCATATACAAACAGTAATTATAAGGACAATAAAGGGAACAGAGTTGTACTGAATACTGGAATATGAATGTTGATGATGTTCAGTAGAGGACACAGATGTACAAAGACGGGTGCAGAGTGAGTGGGGGGGGGGTGGCTGAGGAGGGGACCGTGTCAGCAGGGGCCAGGGGGCTTGTTGATGAGGTCAGCTGCTGAAGGGAAGAAGCTGTTTTTGTGGCATGTGGTTCCGGTGTTCATAGCCCCGAGTCTCTTGCTATAGGGTATGTTTTTTGGTCACTCCATGTCTTAACCTGAAACTGGCTTTTTGATTTTTGGCATGTATCTAATGTCTAATTAACGTTTATGTTCCCGGTGGCTGCATGTCACCCCAGCATGTGAACAAACGCTATGAACGAGTACAAAGGCTGTGACTGCAGCTCGCAGAAAAGGGTGAAAACAGGGTGGTACTCAGTACCCTGGGGGAGGGGGCAGGCCGAATTTGATCAAGGACAACTGGAAAGTAGGGAGCAAGCGAGACAAATACACCCCCACTCCCTCCCCGCCCCCACCCCCACCAAAGCCATCTGTACTGATCGATGGAACACCTACCCGTCTCTGTAAAACAAGCTCTTGGTGGAGCTTCTCCTGTACCACAGTCACGGGCTTCCTCTGTAGTGCCGTTTTTCAGTGAAGTGAGCTATCAGAGCATTATCTCGTTATCTGGATTGCTTTCAGTTTCATATCGTCTCATTTCTTCCACCTACTTTTCTGGATTTCTTTCTCTCTGTCCAATAACAACTGATCCTTTATCCAAAAATCACCGAGGATCTACTGTTCGGGATGAGTGGCAGCTGAGTGGCAGCTGAGTGGCACCAAGTGACACCGATGGCGAGACATTCGAGAGGCAAATTCCAGTAAATTAGAGTTTAAACAGATAAACCTCACATCTCAATTTCGCCAAAGTGTCTGTTTGGGAGACTGTATTAATAAAGGAGGCTTCCGGAACGTTCTGTCCTAATATTAAGTCATTTTCCCTAATGGGAGGTAGTTAGCCAAGCAATCCTGCTATGCTAATGGCTCTTATTTAACTATTAAATTATTCCTTGCTCAGGGTCCCCACAAAAAAATAAGATCAGCCCCAGAGAAGCAAAGTGCTCTTGGAAACCATGGACCAGGTGAGTCTGCAGACACCTGCCATGGTCAGATGAGACCAGGCAGGCTTGAGGCTTCACCTTGGGATGGAAGTTTGACTGGGATCTGATTGTCCATGAGAGGTTACCCCCAATTTTATACACTGGGGCTGGATTGTTCTCATTGATATTCATACAGCCATGGTTGCTTAAAACGAGCAGGGTGTGAAATCAGAGAAAGCTGACCAACTGTGAGATAGACGGGGAAGGAATGACTCAGGAAAAAAAAACACATTAAACGGATGGTGTTGGGAAGTGCAGCGTATGTTTACATTAGGGGGGGCATTAAAGCTGACCTTCCCAGCATCCTTGTATCTAACTGCTCCTCTCAGTTATCAAACAGTCATTCATCAGGTTCATTCCCTGCTCTCAGTCAGTAGTGACGACTAATCGGATGCCTCTTGACAGCTGATGAAACGGTTTCCTCTGTCTGGTCCACTTTACCTGTTCCTGTGTCATGAAGGCACAGAGAGAACATGCCAGATAGTGTGAGCTGAACTTTTTTGTTCTGGATCTTTCATCATTGTATATTCCGACTACCCCGTCAACTAAGGGTTAGTTGATTATAGGCCGCTTATTCTCTCCGTACATGGTTTCATTCCTCCTGTCTGGCTAACTTAACGTATTACCTACTTGACTCGACATTTTATAAATACACGTCAACTTGGAAAAACAAGCTATATCAAATACCTTTACAACAATTTAAACAGGTCAATGTGGGTTTCATCAGACGTTTTGGCTTAGAGATTTGAGTAGAATGAATGTCTTGCGTGTTTTAATATCGTTTTTACTTCCTTTGTTTAGCTAATCCTTTTACCCAAAGCAGCTCAGACTTCCATCCATTTATAGACATCTACTTTCCTCTGGTTATTTATATTAAGGTTCCTGCACACAGGGAGTGTCTTTAGGTCCCAGCTATATATTCAACCATACTGTTTACATGCAGCAAAGTGATACAGCGCTGACTTGTAGGACAGACGCAGCTCCCCTGTTCCCTGCTTCGCCGTCGGCTTGGCTTGCGTTTGGGTGTGTGCTCCTATTTTAGCACTACACAAATCACCGGGCCGAGGTGAGCCGTCGTACACCGCAGGAACAGCAGGCCGGACCAAACTGTGGAAACAATCAAACATAAAATTACTTGTAGCACCAGACCCTGAGCAGTTAAAAAAAATGTATCTGCATACAAAGACACTCACTTAAATATCAATCAATTCATTTGTTAATACTTAATATTTTATTATTATTTTAGCTGATTATTAAGAATGACCAGCAATGTCTGCTTGTGGTGACTGCAGTTTCGGGGCAGATGCCAGTCGGGGGTTTTAAGGGGCCAAAGAGCTCCCTGTTCCTTACGCAGCCCCTCCAGCAAAGACAAACCGATTCGCTCGGGCAGTTTGTCTACTGTTCCCTTCGCCCTCTCCCATAAAAGTGGCAATCACGCTGAAGTGCTTGACCAATCACCAGGCCTCGCTCAGCAGGCCCGCTCCAGCTTCTTACATTCTTCTCTGGCGCCTAAGACAGTGTGATATAAACATATGCCCCGTTGGGTTATAAACCCACGGCCTGGACGTAAACATCAGCAGGGAAGGGAGACTGCGGGACCTGCTTCATAACAGCTGCCTGGGAGGATCTAGCTGTGGTCCATGTGGACGGCCTGTTCTCCACTGAGGTTTAGTTCTGCTCTAAACCATCAGAAAAAAAGGGAGCAGCCCTGGTACAGTTTTGTTCCCCAAGGTATAAACAGCATGAATGTACCCCAATGGTACAAAAATGTTCCTCAGAGTCCATTTCTGTACCTTAAAAGGTACATTTACCTACAGCTGGGGTACAATTGGCAGACCGTTGAGGGTACAGCACCAGTGATAAGTAATTGTACCCTCAAAGGTACAAGCTGGCACTTTTTTTCTGACAGTACAGGGTCAGACTCAGAGATAAGCTCTGCGCCTTTTTATCCTGCCGTGTTTTCTTTGTTTGACCCCCCAATGACCTGCTGCCAATATCTGAGTTCCAGTTTCCACTTCCTGTTACAGCACTTCCTACAGAAACACTAACCTTTGGGTCGTCGGTCCTGCTCAGTCGATATTTTCTTGGCCCCTTTTTGGCCGCGGCGTTTTCCGGAGGAAGTGCCAGCAGGAAGCGGCCTGACGAGGCCCAGGGCACGTGGGTCTAGCTTCCAGCAGCTATTCCAAGGCTGTCACTGATCCTTGTTGTCCAAACGATGATGGACAGATGAATAAATGAATGAGAGCGATGTTTCCGAGGAAAAGGCCTAAATCACGACAATGTTTGGCACAAAAGTGCCACCACGAGATTGATTACTCATAAAAAAGCGGAACTAGGACCCCACACAAAGCATCGAGGGGCCCCCAGTAGCAGATTTCCTTCTGCTAATGTATGGTATTATTTTCCTTATGCATTGCAGCTCCCTTGTTTATTGACTATTGTTAGAACAGAACATTCCGGCAGTCCATTCATTCGCGTTTAAAACCTGCCTGTTGCCATGGAGCCAAACTAAAAGTGAATCATACAAACCCTGAAAGCAGTCGCTCCGAAAATGTCACCTCACCTCATCTGCTCTACTGTAGTCATGAGCGGGGCAACTCGGTGGGGCTGGGGTTTGTTTGTGTGTGTGTGTGGGGGCATTAATATCCCAATCACGTCTGTTTGATTTACATGTGTTCGCAGCAGCCCCCCGTGTGACATGCATGAACACCCCCATGTGTCTGTCACCTGCTTCAGTGGGACCACCAGCAGAAGCCTGAGATGAGATGCTTCCTCTCCATCTCCGGCGGTTAAAGCGGCAATGAAGCTGCCTTGTTCCATGAGGGAACAGCGGTATTCTTAGAAACACACATTACCATCTCCCGCCTACACCTCTTTATTCTTTAACTTTCCCGGGGTTTTTTTTCCCTCTTTTTTAACTTCTGCAAGCCGGGCAGAGACCGGCCCGCTTTCGCAGTGTTCCGGCCCCGCAGCTGTGTGTGTTCCCCCATGGTTCACACGTGTTCATGTGGGAACGCAGTCCGGAAGCAGGGAGGTGATGGGAACACATGCCTGTAAACGGCCCCTAGCCCCTCCCTGGGCAGCCGTCACCGGCCGTGACGTCCGTGGAGTGGGAGCAACATCCGGCTCCATCCCCAGCACTGGCCAGCCCTCGGCTGGCATCTCTGACGCCTCAGCTGGGATGACTGACTGGGAAATTGATAAGTGGAAGTTGAATTTCCACTTTTACGGCATGTCTGTAATATGCATACGGTGCCAGAATCTGAACCTGTAGTTGAAATAGACCGCTTACATCAACACTGGCTGAATAGATAACGCCTTAACTACAATGGATCTGAGAGCGATAATTTGATAATTTAAAAAACTCATAAATGGCAAAACCCCTCCCCTCTTAACTAACAGACAGATAGACAGATAGATAGATAGATAGATAGATAGATAGATAGATACTTTATTAACCCTACGGGAATTTCCGCTGCTTTACCTGGAGTATTCTAAGACGGAAGGAGGCACATGATTAAAATAATATTAAAAGCAAAGCGTCTCAGAAAGAGTTCACCTTCGGCCTACGGTGTGTTGGCCAGCGAAAGGTTTTGCGACTACCTGAGACAGTTTATGATAAACTGTCCAAATAACGTAAGTAATATGGTGGTGAGAGTAGCTCACAACCTTCATTTATTACTTATAAAGTCGTTAGAGAGCTTAATTTTGTTGCTGTCCAGATATTTAGTACAAGGAGCCCCCCCACCAAACAGCAGTATGTACAGAGCCCTCATTCATTATCAGTCTGGTCACACTTTTTCAGTTGGGACGACCTAAAATACTTCAAAACCCCAAATTTCTTTTACACTTTAATGATCATATTGCACTGCATATCACCAAACGCATGAAATTTAATCCAAAGAGAAAATTATAAAATGCACCTTAAGTCTCTTCCTCTCCACAGAAACTTATTACAAGAAAAAGGCTTAACTTAGCTTAACCTGAACAGCCAGCGAGAACGAAGTTTCTCTCTAAGAAACTCGCTCACAAATTAACATTTCACACATTTCATCAAATTAAAAGAATTAGCCTAACTTGAAATCCACATTTCGAATATTTGCTGTTTATTATTTTATTTTTGTAATGAAGTCTCCAGGGAAGAAAATTATACACAAATGATAGTTATAGCCTATAGGCCTACGTATTGTCTTCTCCTTGTAGCAGTAGGCCTATATATAGGCTATATCCATTTTCCGGTGTTGTAATTTTGTTTTTGGATTACACTTTCATAAATTTGACAACAGCCGGCTATTTATGACCGGTAACATGTGAGAGAAAATTGTTTTTCCTGAGTTGTTATTCCCCACATTGAGCCACGTTTAGCTATATGTGCGTTTCTATGGGGAGGAAACGATTTAACGTCAATTCTGTAATTTTGTCTTCGGTCTACAGTTTCATACAATTGCCAACAGGATGCACTTACGACGAGCAAAATGTGAGAGAAATGTGTTTTCCCCAAGTTGTTTCTGACATTATGTCCCGCTTAAGCTGTTTTCCCACATTAAGCGTTTTATAAGGTCCTTTGCAGCTCTGATGCTCTGTAGATTTTTACATCCAAAATGCTTTGACACTTAACGCCCTACCAGTCTGTGTCCGCTTTCGCTGGAGGTCTCTGCTTGTTGATGTGTTTACCGATCATCTTCATGAGCCTCCATGCGTGTGAACCTTTCCAGACCTCCACCGATCAGGAGATACTGTTTAGCTGTGTATAGATGCTACTTATCTAATTGAATCAAATCCTACAGATAGATCCTACATCAATATAACCATAGAAAATATAGCAACTTGATTGGTATTCCCAGTTAAATTATAAAGTGTACTTTATAATCATGCGTTTAATACATTTTATTAAATATTTTCATTTGTAGTTTTCAGGGAACATAAACCCGTAAGTTTTGAAGGTTTCCCCTTGCATTAATTGCCACGGACCTGCCCAACGCAAATTACAGCGGTTATGTAAGAGCCAAAATGTCAAAGCCACGCCGATTACGACCCGCGTCTCACTCGGCGGCTGCAGACAGTCTTTCCCCGCTGTCGTATTAATTGGCCTCCGTCTGTTTCCCGAGCCGGACGCCAACAGCTGCGCATCGCCTGGCTTCATTTTCATTCGGCTGCTTCAGCCCGAGCGCCGTGCGCCTCGCAGCGCTTATTTGCGCGGCAGGTCTCCACTCCGCCGAGGCTGTAACACTTGTTACCGCGGCCGCCGCACCAGTAACGGCGCACCTGAGTTGAGTTCAGACATCCCGCGGTCCGCGGAGAGCCGCCGAGCCCGTGATCCGCCCACGGAGCGGCCGCGAAGTTCAGTTCGTCTCTGAATGCAATACTTACAGCAGCTCGACTGCCGGCGATGCGTGAGCTAGAATACAAGGACGGGAGTGGTTGTTCCGTTTTACCCTGAATTTTATATAGAATTGATAGATAGGCTGTTTGGTAATAATTCGAAATCATCCCCGGCGCGGCCAAGTTGCTGTGCTGTGCTGCACCGCGATATTTCCGTGGAGAAAAAATAACCAAGGCGGTAAAATATATACAACAGTATAATAATAACCGGTGTCATATTTTTTTGCCATATTTATCGAATTGTGCAGTTGAGGTAGTTTTCATTATAAGGGAAAAAAATACAATATTTTTTATTTAAAAACCAGTTGGTGAGAGATGAAGGCGAAAAACAGGGATCAGAGCTTTTCAGATTCAAGGGAACTGGACGGCTCCTACGACCAGCTCACCGGTAAGTGAAGGAGACGCACTTGTGTCTATTTCCAATAAAAGGCTCAATGTCCGATCAGGGATAAAAAAGCTTCCGTCTGCATGAAATCTCTATGAGGTCTAGAGTAACCTGAGACAGTTTCCTCAACTCGCTTTTGATCGTAGAGGACATTGCGCCTCTTATTGGAGTCTTTGAAATATTCGCATGGCACTTCGGTTAATTTTGCTGACCTGGCTTGTTACTCGGCTTTTATTAGGTTGTTAAATGATGTCTGGCCGCCGACCTGCTTTGCTGCAAGAATTACGGTGCTGCTAATTAAGACGGTTGAATAGAATATCGGACCCTGTGTCCGATGGTATTTCTGTAAGTTTCGTGGCATGGACATATTTTGTCTGCGTAATTTACTATTTTACATGCATGGTGCAAAATCAGTATGAACATAGTTTCGGTGGAGATTAGGCAACAGAGCAGCGTGGAAAGCAGTTTTTATTTGTAAAGTTTGTTTAATTTTTGAGCACAGGATACATAACTGTAATGCAAATTATTTTTTTATATGAGGCTTTGTAACTCATACTTGAAATATGGAACGTGGAGTCTCCATGTCTAACAGGCTGGACACGAATAGTGTAGAAATAACTTTATACGCCCAAGACTTCTTATCAGTGGGAGAAGGTTCATGAAGAAATATAAAAGTAATATTGAAGGTTTTAGCAACGCCTCGATGTGAGAGCTTTTTAACGGTACTGCGCTACTCCGAAAGGGCAACTGTCGATAAAAACACTACACATTTTCACAGTTTTTTTGGCAGCTTTATAAGCGAGTAATTTAACTGTCTTCCCCGCCTGCACACCAGTGCGCAAGGCGAAAAAGGACACCGGCGTTTCTGCACCGACCGAGAGATGAAACATCCAAGAGAAATATTTAATTATTTTAACAAATACTGGCGAAATGTAAACCTCCGCTGTACTTTTCCGTAGTTTGACAGAATTAAGTGGTTCATTTTTTTTCTGTTACTGACATTCACTTAGCACAAGGCGACAGAAGCAGAAACATTGTTTGAGAACAGACATTGGAGGAAAAATAGTCATTTATAATACAAATTTCCAAAGGACGTTTAGTCATTCTGGTATTCTTATCCTAGGTGTCCGTCAGGTTGCTGGGTGTTTTAAGTTGTCTGGAATTTAAACGATTCTTTGCCTCATAACTGCAATACAAGGAGGGTTTATAGTTAAGGTCTGAGGTCGCTCAATTATAAAGCACAGCCTTGGGGGTGGTTCCCAGATGTGCTGTCTGAGGCTCAGTGAGGATATTTAATCAAATTTACCCTAATGCACATGGTACCAGACCAACTCATTTGCATAAAATTCAATTTATTATAAATTCCCGATGATGCGGGAGCTCGACCCGGCATCTCCATGCGCTGTGGAGAACCTGGCGATGGGCAGCTGCGAAGATCAGGGCACCACAGGCAAGGAGCGCTGGCCTTTACGCCCCGACCCCGTCCATGGAGATACACGCCAGCATCTGGAAGCTTCTTCGGGTCGGCAGTCCAGGGAGGATGTCCGTTCCCAGTGCAGTGGAAGCTGTGTACCCCGACGTTTAGCAGTGCCTTTTTTTTTTAAATAAAGCGAGTAACTTTGAGATCTTCAGATGTGATTAGCCCTCCATTTGGGGATAATGCACTCCACATTTTCTGGATGGGTTTTGTGAACTGTTAAGAGATTACTGACACAAATGGGCAGCTGCCCCCCCCCCCCCCCCGGTGAAACCTAATGTGAGGATGGTACTGTTTCTGCCTGCGGATGTGTCTTCTGATGCCCGCTCGTCCCTGGGGCGAGACCTGACTTAAACTGAGGCCGCATGCTTGCAGGAGCACCTGGGATGTTACCCATTGAGCACCTGGGATGTTACCCATTGAGCACCTGGGATGTTTCCCATTGAGCACCTGGGATGTTTCCCATAGAGCACCTGGGATGTTACCCATAGCAGCTTTAGAAGCTGGGGAATGTGCACCGCTAGTGATCTGGTGCTGCTACACCAAAGGTTGCAGGTGATGCATTATGGGAAGCAATGTGTAATGTGTTTAGGAGAGGAGTGTAAGTTTTGTGGAGTGAAATTTTCACTGTGAGCAGCATGGCAGCTGGGTGGGTGCTGCTGCTGCCTCACCCCCCCCGGGTTGTGGGGTCGAATCCCACCTCCACTATGTGTGTGTGTGTGTGTGTGTGTGTGTGTGTGTGGAGTTTGCCTGGTTTTGTGTTGTGCAGATTTGTCTAACTGATCTGTTTTTATCCCTTGCAATCCTGAGACATGCAACTAGGAAAACAGACATCTCTAAATTGCACGTGTGTGTGTGTGTGCGCGACGTGTGGCCTGTCCTGCCTGGGACAGGCTCCCAGCCCTCCCGCATCCCTTCCCGTTTGCGGTTGGAAGATGGATGAATGCGTTTTAATCAGGAAGAATCATCCTGATTCACATTGTGGAGACGGGCAACCGTCCAACTGACCTCTGTGAATATGAGCAAAAGCTTTAGGAATCTGCTCTCTCAACTGTTTTGTGGTGATGCAAGGCAATGCATCTTCAGAAGCTGTGATTTGAATGGAGCAATTTCTTCAACACGTTGGGAATTAGAATAGGAGATGAAGGTGAGAGAGCCCAGCTCACGCACTGACTTATCAAAATCACCCGAATCGGGTCCGGTACCTGTGACGGAATGAGCAGGGTGCTGCATATGAAGCTGCATTTCTCACTGAAAGGTAGCTGGTACTGAGCCACGGTGTGGCTTCTGTCACGGCCTCACATGGTCCCCATCTGTCCTCAAACCGCTTAACGCCATATTGCTCCAGGGCCTTTTCTGATGAATAAAGTAAATGTCCATACCAGTGATTCTCAACCCATGGGTCACGACCCGAATTTGGCTCACGGCAAGTTCTGAAAGGGTCGCGACGCATAGTTGGAAATGTAAGCATTTTAAAATCAGCAAGCTCCTATGCTGTTCCAGGATCAGATTTCCCAGCCCCAGTTCTAGAATTAACTTGTATAAGCGGGTCTTGGGTTGGCAGATGCTTAGTGCAAAACTAGTGAACGCTCAACCAATCCAAGAAGCCAAACCACAGATGCTTAATTTGAAATCCACTGGCACATCCAATCAGATTTGAGCAATAGGTATTGATTGACGTGAAGTATGTTGTTAAACTGGGTATGAGACATTGGCCACAAAGACAGGAGGTGTGGCTACGTGGATGCAGCCATCATCCCGGCATCGGTAAAAAATATCTTACGGCATGTGGCTGACCTAGGAACGCATCAAAACTCGGAGTTTGATGACTAGGTCTATTGCTGTCACCCCATTGTAAAGTTGGAATATTATAAGTTGAACCATCTGTGGAGAGTGTTTGCAAAGCAGGCATCTCCCCCTACACTTGCCCCCCCCCCGCATTCCTAGATGACTCATCCATCAACCTTCCTTGACCAGTGCCTCTGTTTGGGTCCAGCATCTGCTCTGAAAATCACCGGCACGGACGCCGCGAGTCAGTGAGTAGAGCGCCCCAGACAGGCAGGATCCGGGCCCCCGAACCCCTCGGTCAGTTAAACAGGGGCCTCGGCAGCCTACCCGGAGGGGGGGGGGACAGACTGCCAGTGTCTCAGTGCCGTTTCTGGACACAGGAAGGCTGGCTGCCAGCTGGGTGCTGGGGAGGCCCTATGTTGTTGGCAAGATGTGGTCACAACAAAACAAACCAAAGGGGCTTATGTGGTACCCAGAATCCTTAGGGGCTTGGTGATAACTGCACCCGCCGGTGGTCAGTATGGACTCATGTTCAGCATGACTGTCTTATGTATGATAAGCACAGACCATCCTGGCCACGATCCTGACCTCTCCTTTTTTTCGCTGGCTCTGTAGCAACTGCAAACCCCCATTTTTCATCCGTGTACTTTTTTTTTCTTAAGCATAGCGAGCTGGGCCATTATAAATTGTATCCTCATTTAGGTGCAGAAGCTCGCGGAGATAAAAGCCTCGGTGGCTTGCCGTTCTCTCTTCCGGTCCGTGTGGAATGAGCCTCCAGCCGTCGCTCGGCCGCCTTTAAGCTGCATCGTCGCTCTCTGCTCGGCGAGTCCGCGCCGGCAGCCACACGGAAATGCAACTTTGGTTTCAAGTGTCACTTTGCAACTAAAAAGCCCGGCAGGTTTTTCCAAGAGAGAAATTCCATTTATCCTGTTATTCTTCAGAGGACATGTGGTGGATGTTATTCCAGAAGCTTCCACCTGGAGAGCTATCAGATCGTGGATCCTCTGGGGAATCCCCACAGTTACTCGGACGTGGGGGAACAAGGCCCCAACGTTTATAACAGCCCACACCTCCTCGTGCCACAAATTAGCCTTCCGTCAACATCTCCGTGCCCCCGTGACGAGCAAAGTGATAGGCTGTCATCCCATCACACGGGGATAACGGGCACCTTGCTTCTGCACCCGGCCCATTGAATGCCGGGTGGTGCTGGGGGGGGGGAACCGCGTGTGGGGTTCCTCAGTTCTGTTCCGATAGTTGTCAGCGTTCTTGGAAAATACGACATTACGAGTCATTGGGTCGTCATTTATATAGCCGGTGTCCGACTGGCTTCTGGCAGCCAACTGGAACAATTCATACCCTTATAATATAAAATCAAATATCGCATGGGAAGCGGACAAACAGCACCGCTAGCTTCCGCGTACGACGCAGCCATCCGTGGTTAGCGAGCTCTCCCAGCTCGGCCTCCTTGCCAGCTGGACCCTCCTTCAGCCTCTCGCTCAAGGATGTTTCATTGATAATGCGAAAGGTCTCGGGCGCGGCGCGCATCGATCCGGGCTGCTTTAGTGTCCCGACGCCGAGCCTGCTGGGAATTCAGTGCCGCATTCCCCCGCAGCCGGCCGATTGATTAGAGACGCGGTCACGGGTGACTAGCTGGAGGTAAGCTGTGAGCCTCACATGGATGCTGTGTGTAGAGAGAGGAGAGATGGGTCACATGACTGAGATGGGTCACATGACTGAG